AGTCACTCAACAGCATGTGGCCCATCAAAATAATCTCCCAGGTAATGCAGACCTCAACAGAAAAAAAGGTTTAACAAGAGGCCTAAACCATAGTAAAGACAAACCACATTTTATCTGGGTTTGTGTTTACCACTGAACTGTAGTTGATAAAAAATGGGAAATGGAAGTTTCCAGTGCCCTTGCAGCTGCATTGGAGGCCAGCAGCATTTATGCAGAGTTCTCTCTCTAAAGATTACTTCTGGCAGTAGTTGGGCTTTTGGACAAGGAAGATAGAGCTGTTTAGGATACTGTCTGCTTTATATGTTATTCTTGTGTTTTGCGTATTGTTTGTCTTGTTAGTCCAGATCTTACAGCATGGTCATCTCAGGAGGAACTTGTTCCTCACAGAAGTGCAGCACTCGAACCCAAGGCATCTTTCCCAGCCTCTCTTCAGCCTGCCTGCTAAGATGGTTCTCCCTTTGTTCTCCCCATTCTTCCCAGCACACTTTGATAAAAATCACTCTCTTCCTGTCACCCCTCTCTCTCTTACCCCACCATCTTGGCAATTTCTGTCTGCCCAGGCCCAAGGATTCCTCCTAGATAGGCCATCAACACATGTTGTCATGCTAATGACATGGCTTATCCCTAGCTAGCTATGTGAAGCTGCCTGGGTTTGTGTTCCTAAACTGTATTTAACAGTGCTTGACTTAGTTTTAACTAGCCAGATTGCTTACTTGGTGCATTGCTTACTTAATGAATTTATGAGTTTGCTCAAATTCTAGCTCTTTACTGAATCCACAGATTATGGCGAGTCTGCCCCTCCCCCAAACTCATAACACTGCATAGCCACAACTCCCAGAATCTGCAGCAGAACCGTCATTGGGGATCTTAGGGCCTGGGTTCTTGGAACTAGAGAGACCATAGCTTAGTGGCACATGCTTTGCATTCAAAAAGTCCAAGATACAATCCTTGGTAGTTCCACTTAAAAGGATAGCTAATAAGGAAGAACCTTTGCCCAAGACCCCAGAGAGAGCTTCTGCTTGTCAGAGTAAAGTATGCTGGGCTTGATGGATGTATAATCACTACTCGGATAAGGCAGCTTCCTGTGAGCTTATATGGGAGAAGACTCTTCCATACGTATATTGAGCTACACTCCTACAATCTCATGTTTCTGTAAAGCAGGGAGAGTCAACATGGTGCCCTCTGCATGTTGTGAATTCCCAACTCCTACCATCTCTTGAGTATTAGCTGTGTTGGCATGGCCAGATGGGAGTTGTAGTCCAAAACATCTGGAGGGCTCCACATTGATTTCTCCTGCTATGAAAGTGTAATGCTACATACACTAACATATTCCCCCTTCTCCCTCCCATACCAGTGACCCAGAAATATACTGCAGTTCTTCAACACTTTGTGGCTGTGAGCAAGGGAAACTGGGAGAACTAGCCTAAAACAACAAGAGGAGTGGGGCCATAGAGGTGTTTGTGGCTCAGACCAGATCAAGGTTCAGGATGAGGTTTTTGTATATTTGGGAGCACGAAGGCCAAGTGTTATATGATGATAAAGCAAACGTGTCAGGTATTCATAAATGTGTTATAGGTTGGAATATTAAAGCAGATCTTTATGTGCTGCCCACAGTTCAAATGTTGTAGAGGTTTTTGCAGCTGCTTTGATGCCAGAGGCTAAATCTTTGGCAGCTGCATAGTATTTTTGAATGCTTTTTCTTGGGGGGAGAGTTTAAAGAAAACTAATAAAGCATCGTTTGAACAAGACAGTCAGATAAGATGGTCATCCAAAATCTTAGGCATACAGAAGTATACTGCTTCAAATTTTGGACACTTCAGAAACAAACAAGTAAGAGACTTCTATTGTAGAGATGGAAAACTAAGTTAAGGGTAATTTGAAGAAAACTGTTGAGTTTTCACTTGTGAAATTTTAGTGGCGTTATGTCCTTTAGAAAGCATGGTCAGTGTGGACTGTGTTGCAGTTAAAGAAAAGGAAAGGAAAGAAGAAATTTAATGATTTCATCTGAATTATTGCCTGAAAACCACTCATCCAGTGGTCTCCCAAAACAGGAACTAATGGTGAGGGCCTAGTTCTGGAACTTTACTCATGCAGTCACAACACCTCCTGACAAGTTCTACTTTCCATTGGAGAAGAAGAACAATGTGCATGCTCAGAAATGAACTGAGTGTAAGTTCCACAGAGAAGTATTAAGGCAATAGGGTATTAAAAAGGGTAAAGGGACCCCTGACCATTAGGTCCAGTCGTGACCGACTCTGAGGTTGCGGCGCTCATCTTGCTTTATTAGCCGAGGGAGCCGGCATACAGCTTCCGGGTCATGTGGCCAGCATGACTAAGCCACTTCTGGCTAACCAGAGCAGCGCACGGAAACGCTGTTTACCTTCCCGCTGGAGCGGTACCTATTTATCTACTTGTATTTTGACGTGCTTTCGAACTGCTAGGTTGGCAGGAGCAGGGACTGAGCAATGGGAGCTCATCCCGTCGCGGGGATTCGAACTGCCGACCTTCTGATCGGCAAATCCTAGGCTCTGTGGTTTAACCCACAGTGCCACCCGCATCCCAATAGGGTATTAAGCATGCACAAATGACTTACAGGCATACCTTGCTTTATTACCACATGACTTCAGCCAAAACCAGAATGTGGAAACCTGTTTAAGTTTGGAAGGCAACCTCGGTTGTGTCTAAACTAGGACATGAATGTGTAGATATGCATGTCCATGTATGTTTTGCTGTTTCCTTGTGTTTGTGTCCCTTCATCCACACAAGCACTTTCAGTTTTATGCTTCTAAAATGTACCTGGATGTTTCCTGTCCACACTCGTGGCCAGTGCTTGATTTTTTGTGTTGTTGTCACATCCTTTCATGTGGATATTTGTTCAGCTTTCAACATTTTTGTTTTGAAATACAAGTTTTCCAAAAAAAGAGCACAAAAGAGCAGTAAAAACATTTTTTTAAAATGTGTGTTGCTTCACATCAGGCAAGATTGAGAGCTGCTGGAATGAAAGGCTGACACTTCCATTCCTCCCCTTTTCCTTTCCTGCACCCAGTAAAACATAATCACACATGTGTATAAACCTGCTCATATAATGTGCTTTAGTTCATTCACAGTCAAGTAACACGTGATTTTATACTGGATTATCCAGAGAACAGGAAAATCAGACTTTAGCAGGAGACGGTGTGGGTTGCCACTTGGATGAGGACATTGTGTGGAAGCTGCAAAAAGATAGAGAGGCACAAGCAGCTTCAAATCCACATTAGACTTTGGTCTGGATGAGACCCTAGTTTGTAAACATAAAATAATTCTTCACCCTAAAAAGTCAAATCAGTGACACACTCAGGTTCTTAGGGAAGCTCTAATTGATGCTGGCTCTTCTTTCTCCAGCTATAAAAATGGGCAGACTCACATCGAGACCGTAAATAATACATTATGTTCCCTAAGATGACAGTTGTCTTGTTAAACGGGGTCTTTTTAAAAGTAAAGAAGAAAATAAAAATGTCAGCAGTACCTTGTAGCAATAGTTTATCTAGCTCAGTACCGCCAAGCTGCAGCAGATACCTCTGGCCCATTCATATGCCCCTGCCACGTTTTCTATTTTGGTAGTTACTATCTGCAAAAATAGGGATAGATACACTATTGAATGCAAGTAGCATGAACTCAGGATTTGCCCCATTATAAATTGCATCAAAAATTAATACTTAGTTGTACTGAACAGAAAAATCAGTTTAAGGATGTGCACCTTTTAAGGGTAGTCTTATGTCCCCAGGGATGGTAGAATGTTGCAATCTTCCTCTCTGCAGGTCTGCCCTCAGCAGCTTTCACTCTATATGCTTCAATGGGAGGACAAAAAGTGTGTTTTCAGGGGGGGGGTGTGAATTGGGATGTGTTGGGATTCACAGGATCTAAAGCACTGCCAGAATTTTATTTTTTTTTTTGGGGGGGGGGGGAGCGCAGTGGCCCTGGGAAGTGGTGTACTTATTTATTTTAATTTTTTTAGGCCTTAGAAAATGGGGAAAGAGATTATGCCCACCCTCCTTTGCCCTAAAGGCACAAGCCAGGTCAGACTCTGGATCTGGCAGTTCTTCCATCTCAAATTCTCCCTCCCCCAATGCTGTAGGTGCAATTCACACCCATTAAAATCAACAATAGTACAGGCATCCCTCAGAGATATTGTAGGTTTGGTTCCAGAATACCACAATAAAGCAAATATTGCAATAAAGCGAGTCACACATTTTTTTCTTGGTTTCCCACTGCATGTAAAAGTTATGTTTATACTATACTGTGGTCTGTTTATACTATACTGTTAAGCCATGTCCCCTCTGGCTGCAGGGGTGGGAGGAGAAAAACTTGGTTCCTAGCCAGCTCCACTCCTGTGGCAGGAAGAGGGGCAGTGGGCGTCCTCCTTCTCCTGGAAGCAGCTAGGCTGCCTGCATCTACACCCACAGGAGCAATATTTGTGAAGTGCAATAAAGTGAGGTATGCATGTAGATCATTTTGTTCATGTTTAATACCCTAACCCTATTGAATGGATGGGCTTGTGCCCCTTGGCATAATTTGAAAAGCAAGAGCAGTGAGTCCCTTTCTTACCAGCTTGATTGGAAGAGAGAGAGAATAGGTTGGCCATAGCTACTTTTGGCTCTGGCCCAGTCTACTGCTGGCTTAGAATCTGCTCTCAGTCAGCATATTGTCTGTCCCTGCTTCAGAATGTAAGTAGCAAAGCAATCAGTTGTGAATGACATTTAAAAGATGGGTTCTTCTGACCAAAGTCTGAATGGAACACACTAGGTCCAGTGACTGTAACTGAAAATGAGATCATTGAGTGATGTAAATCAGTGTTCACTAACAGTTTATGATGAACTGAAGTAATTTTCCACCTGGGATTTTAAAGTAATAGTTGGGAATTTCAGCAATATTTTGGCAAGCGAGGCTCCAACATTTATTTGATCTGGTATTTAAAATTTCAAAACAGAGTAAACACATTTTTATCACCACATCATACCAGCTAGGCTGTATTTCTCAATTTATTAGAAACAGCGGTCAGTACATCCTTCTAAAACATTACATGTAAATGTGCTTTATTGCAATCTTTTATTGCATTTTTATTCTAAAGCAAAGTAGGCCAGAATGCTTAGTGTCTGGGATTCCAAAGCTCAACCACCTATTTTAAAAAATAGAAACATACAGTAAGATCATAGCACATTTGGTGACAAGTACAATGTTGCATTACTTATCTAGAAACTACAATATGACTAACATACAATTGTTTTCCTCATGAAGCAGTTTCTTTTTTAAAGTTAAACTACATGAATTTGACTACACCATAAAATGACAGAAGAACAGGTTTTACATACCAACAAGACTACTCAAGTTACATGCTGGAATTTATATTTAAAAAATAACAAAACAAAAACAATCCCCTTTGCTCCATGAGAAGCAACCTTTGACAAATAGCATCCCTTAAAAGAAAAACCAAAATGGATTTCAAGAATGTAGTGTTCATGTGCGGGATGTACAGAAGGAGTGCACAGTCCTGGCATACCTCAATACAAAATGAAGCTACCTACTCATTGTTACACGTATTTGTAAAATGAGTCCATACACAGTGATTAATGCTATTATTCTCCTTTGCACATTAGTTCTAGATGGGGTTTTCCCATATTTAAGAACTGCAACTGTTACTGTCTCTCAAAAGGAAATGGGGTCTATATAAAATGCAACCACTTTGCTTTGAATAAACTACAATGCTTTATCTTGAAGCAAATAAGGAAAACACTTTTAAAAAATCGGAAATTTAAAAGCACATCGAGAGTATTAGTGAGGAACCCCACTTTTTTTTGGGGGGGGGGAGAACAAAATGATCCAAACTTTCAGATTGTGAGGTGGGTAAAGCAAGTGAAAATTGTGAATCTGGAGTTTCAGAGGGCCAGGGCTAGTTATGGCCAATGCATATTAGATATATGTATGTGAATTTATTTTCCATATATCTATATACATACAGCACACACACACACACACACACACACACACACACACACACACACACACACGTTGCAGACCAGTACAATCCCATGGTGCTGTAAACTGGCAAAAATTAACAGGTTGAGTTAAATTTCTTTGTAGTCAGTCACTGCAAATACCGAACACTCTACACTCCAAGAAAGACAACACACAGCTTGCTGGCATACAAGGGTGCAACACCACTGAACATACTAGGCCTATGATGGGGGAGGACAAAGCATGTTGACCCTTGAAAATGTCTTTAAATAGCTTTTTTTTACACACTGCAAATGCCTGTCTGAAAATAAAAAAGTGTCCCGAGGGGCTGATTGGAGAAAAGTGCAAGGCTCTCAATGGTTATAGGTAAGATACTAAGCAGTGTGAAACAGAATAAACTTTTAACTATGAGCCATTGCTATATGCAATACTCAACCTCTGTGAGCAATAAGACAGGAGTAAGGGATGTTGATGAAGAATAGTGTATAGTATAAAGGTCTGCATTAAAATTATGGAGCTAGCCAAAAATGCTAGTGCTTGAAACCTAGAAAAGTTAGACTGATTTGCTAAACTTCCACTATTTGTTATTCAGTGTTCAGTCAAAACATACTCCAGCCAAGCAAAGCTCTTAGCTCAGGGCTGAGAGTAGATAGGATGTTGAGAGATCCTGTGTATTATTTATAGCCCAATCATACCAGAAGAATAGTGCTTGAGGGACAGTGGGTTTTTAACTCTTCTCCCTGCTGAAAAGAAATCATCCCTCATATTTAATATCTGCCCCAAGGGGCTGGGGAGAAAACACAGGCAGCACCCAGTTGTATGTGTTTCCCATAACATACCAAATAGCTTCAGAATGGTGATTTAGCTCATGAAGATGGCACAGGGGGAAAAGCTTCAACCACCACACCCAGAGCTATCTTGGAGTGTAGAAACATTGCAACTGTTTGTACAATTTGGCTTAAAAACAGCATTTAGCTTTTAGGCAACTCCCATCTTATGTTAAAGTCACCCTGTAATCCTTAGAGTCAGAGTGGCTCCATTTACCCCTGCCATGCATGAGCTTTTGGTTGATGGCAAACAGCTGAAGCAAAATGCCTCTTCCCACATCTCTTTACTGGGGGGTGGGGTGAGGTGTAAGAGCAGGTTGTGGGCTTCAGGGAAAAGAATGAGGGGTGCAGTGTCTCATGGACAGGAAGGAGACGCCAGGGTTGGTCAATACCTCTACAGCTAGCAAGGAGAAAGAACTACTAGGGCAGGTTAGATGGGAAGCACTGCCTTGGTTAGTGCAAGTGTGTGGAGTCAATGATAGGTATTGCCTCCATTGCCTGTGTGACTTCCCCTGTCAACTTGGATGAAGCAAGGGTGCTGTGGTGACAGGGAATAGCTCTCCTGACTTAAGGGGAGTCATGAGACTGTGGTGCAGTGCACATCCTCACATCCCTGAGTCTCCTAAGCAGGCAGGGAAGAGTTGAGTGGTGAGGTGTCACTGAGAAAGAGAAGTACAGCAGTTGGAGACTGGTTATGGGTCAGCTGCCTGGGTATGGGTCCCAAGAAGTACCTGACCATGTCCACTGCTGATGCCAGCCCTTGGACACATCCTTATTCCATTTCTTTTAAGATGTGCTTCCTATCTCAAAATGCCTTAAAACACCTCAATTCTGGAAAATTGCCATTTTCAGGAAATAAAGTAATTCTTATAGGGGGGAAAAACAGAGTTCATGTCTAAAAGTACAATTGCTGCATATCAGAAAATGGAGGTTTCAATAAGTTAAAACTCCAAGTCTGGCTGCTTTTAAGTGCAAGTATTTTAAAGGGTGAAACAAACTGGATGTAAATCTTTACTTCATGAGCATACTGAAACTTTGCAAGTCATGAAGTATATATTTATGAATTCACATTAAAAAGATAAAAATGGGTAGAAGAAAAACCTTGAGCATACATTATGCCCAGATCTGCATTTATACTCTGTCATCTCACAAAAATTGTCTTACATCTGCATACACACAATACATGTTACCACTTCAGATTTTTATTCCCTGTTAGTGTGAATTAAACCAAAACCAAAAAACTACACATTCAAACAAATATTGTTCAAGTACCAAAGAGGGGGCTTTTGTAGACTTGGAAATATGATAGCCAAACAGGAAAATTGCTATGTGAAGAGAACCCATTAAGTCATTGTACATGTTGTCATGGCTTTCCAAGTGACAACATATTTACAGAACCAAACCACCTCAAGCCCTTAATATGTGTCCTACATGTGTCCAGGTTGGCTTCTACAGTCTATTGTGTGCCTGATCTTAAGAAAGACTGAAGAATTGCTGCTATCCCTATTCCTAAGCTTGTGCAGACCGGGGGTTTGGATGGGGGGGGGAAGCGAATATATGAGAACTGTGCTTATGTATGGGAAAACCAAAAACCTACAGTTATTGGGGGGGGGGAGTACTGGAATTAACGAGATTATGCATACTAATTTATAAGTGAATTCAGTGGCTGGAGGTAGATATAAACTTAAATTTGGGTTGTATGATTGTTTTATGTTGCTTGTGTTGGCTGATCCCCTGCTCCTTTTCATTTTAGGCCATGATCCTAAGAATTGCATCACCAGCTCTACATTTTAACTACAGGAGCTTTTCAAAGTTTGCATCCGGCTAACAACACCACACAGCGCATCAGGTATAATTTCTGAACTCTCCCAAGTTTTAAAAGTGACTTGTTGAGCAAAGAACTGTTGTTTAGTGAAAGGTAATCAGAGCTCCAATGTGCACATAAAATCAATCTAGCGCACAGACTAGAAAAGTAACCCAGTGAGGCTGGATTTATTCCTACATTCATAAGTAGGATATTCAAGATACTGCTTTGTACAACATAGGTACAGAGGAAAAACTATGTTGTATCCTCCTTATGAATTCTTCCCAAAATTTCTCCTTAACAGTGCTGTATTTGTTCTTATGATATGTGACTGGCAAAGAAATTAGCCTCAGAAGTACTAGCAGTTCAATTACTTTTCAATCTTGGCCGATCTATTGTGCACTGCAGCTACTGCAACAGCTACAGAAAAATATGCAGTTTTCTACTTGTGAGAAAGGAAAATATTGACTCCTCCCCACTAAAGCACTTCAGATAAGCTGCATATTAAGAGCCTTTCTCCCCAACCAGTTTACTGCTTAACAAAAAACATTTACATAGTTGGGTCATTGAAATCAGTATTAACATCTAGCAGATAAAAAAAATGTTCTAAAAAAATGTTCTACTAAAACAAGCCTAGCTCATTGGCTTAAAAAACCCCACACATTCAGCTCTTCTCATCTTCCATTTTGCCATTCTCTAGTGCATTTGTAGAAAGACAGCAAGTTGTGCTAGGGGGCTGATCTTAACAAAGGTGAACTCTGAGAATTTGGAATGCTGCCACTTGAGGTCAGCTAACTGGTGTGAAAAATTAGGCATGAGAACATTAAATCAAGAAATGTTGATGGAAGCTGAATGGTGGTAGAAGAACATTTCTTCTACAAACTTTCATTTGTAAACTGCAAAATGATTTTTCACTTGCAAAGTCCATCCAAAAATGTTCAATGTGAGAGGCATTGCAAGCATGTGAACACCAGTTGGCTGTTATTTATAAGCCAAAAGGAAGCCATGTATATATGTTGACTTTCCTCAAAATTCTAATCTAAATGTGTCAGAATGTGCCAATTTAAAGGGAAGTAAATCAAGGCACCTTGTGAGATGAAGTACACATAAAGTTAATTGTAAATTTAAAAAAAAATGAACCTAAAGGAAGCATATGAATTTACTGATACTCTGAATACAGTAACAGAAGCCAAAGGATTGTATCCCCAGGGCCATGTTAGTCCTACTTAGGAGTAGACCCATTGAAGTCAATGGACATGACAAACTTGGGTTCATTTAATTTCAGTGGGTCTTTCTGAGAGGGACTAGCACTGGACTCAGTGACTTTATAGAGGCAAACCCAAATGAAGTTAATGCAAAACAGTGGAGGCTGTGTGGTATGGCCTAAATTGCCAATTAGCTCATTGTTTGGTTATAACATTAAAATGTGAAGATTTATAATTGGTAGTTATGGGAAAACATTCCACTGATTCTGAGTAAGTCAGAACAAGCCTCTGTGGTCTAGGCTAGATTTAATGACAGAGTAGTATTAAGCAATGTGCAGGTACCAAATTAGAATGTGCAAGCTGGTTAGGCTTCCAGAGGAGGTATAAAGTCTCAACCTGATGACTCTGAAAAGTGGCAAAATCCAGTGCCACGCTTAATAAAAGTAGCATATTGCTGCTGGCTAAAGAGGATGTGGGGGTGGACAGGCCTGGGAAGAGAGGGACTGAAGAGATGGTGGCACATTAAGTTATTAACTATCGTCTCACAAATTTAAAGACTACAGGATGGGGGTTTTTTTTACAACCATGGTTCCATTTTTAGAAGATCATGTTCCAGCTGGTTAGCCAGCACTTAGCTTAAGTGGCAGTAGATTAGTGCAAAACAGAAGTGCTTTTGGGACATGTCAAGCAATCTAGTTTAGCCCCTCCAGTTGCTGATTAGTGCTCAAATTTTATCATTTTCCTGTTCAGCAATTTCATATTCTGCATAATACTTCTAAGCTCCCTTATAGTGCATTCTGCTTTGTGTAAACATTAGAATCTAACAGTCTGGGGGTTCAAGGTGGCACTGAAGGTAGGTTGGAGCCAGAAAAGATCCAAATGTCCCAACTCCCTGGCATGCACTTCAAATACTACACAGAAAAAGGAAAGACTTCATGCTGAATCTACCAATTTGTCCTTGTTGTGTAAGCAAGTGTTCTAGCTCAAATATAATCTTTAGAAATTACAATAAATCAACAAGGGCATACATGTAGTGACAAAAAAAAAAAGGTAAATACAGCATTGTCAGAGCACAAATTCTCACAGTCTAGTGGATCCAGTTCTCGCTATTTGCTATAATTTCATTATTTGATGTTACATATAATCCAGATGAATCTGATGGCAGATGACCAAGCAAAGCTGTTTACATACTGATAGATTCTACCACTTTATATCTTTACTAGTCCCATTGAATTCAGCTACCCAAATATTTGTCTTATGGTAAGCCAGCAATGAATTCTAAGGTTAAACAACCTGTACAATGGATTTTGTGATTTAGGGTGCAATCCAAATGCATTATAAACACAGTTTTGTAGCCAGTTTCAACAGTATATAGACTGCACCCATAGGGGTTTTTTGTTTTTTGGTTTTTTGGTTTAGCAAGCAATTGAGAAGCAATCCATTGCACTTCTAAAGTTTTTTTTAAACAACAACAACAACAACAAATGTTTTTAAAACAGAAAATTCATTGTTTAGCATCTTATAAACATGCCAGGTGCCAGCTTCATTCTGCTTAACATTCCAAAGCTTAGTATTTTTTAAAAAACAAAATCTGACATCCTTGGAAGAAAGGAACCACATTTTGAAAATAATCAAGGGGGAAGTGGTGCAGTTACATCAGGTCAGGTTAGTTTTCAAAACAACAGAAGACTTTTTAGCTTTTATATTTCTCTCTTCAAGTTTTGGCAAGTGTGATTGCAAATGCAATCTACCCACCCCCCAAATCCAGCAATGAAAGTAGTTTTGGTGGGTTCAATTTGGTTTCTTTTATTTGAAGACCGGTAAGTACTATTGAAACCAATGTTTTGCTATGTTGGTAAAATATAAAGCAATATTTCCTTGAGGATATTCTTTTAAATAAGAACCTGAAACTCCCCCCATAATTCCTTTGGTCTCCTCTCACCAAATACCATGCTACATCAAGATGAGCCCTCATGTGTAAGTTTGTCTGACTTGCAGCCAAGCTGCTAAAATTAACAGGGAAGTTTCTGGAGTAGAGACTTTCCCTACATTTTCCTGGAGCTTAAGACTGAAAGACATTACTAATACCTCAGAAAAACAAAATCCAAGTAGAAGTTCCGCTGATGGTGCCTGGCAAAAGTTTTGCTTTTAGTTCTTTCTGTATGCATCTTTAAAGAGATAACTTGTTCCTTATAGGGAAAATGAGAGAGTCTCCTTATATAAAAACACAGCTGATCTCCAGGTAGCACCAGGGCACCAACCCCAAAGCTATTATTTTGTTGCTGCTAGGTCTCCAATTCACATTCATCAAATCATTTCTTGTGCAAAACAAGCAGTCTTAAGGAGAAAGAATGCCCTCTGGGTTTTAGTAAAAACTGTAGAAAAGAAATCCGGGAACCAACACTTCACCTATACTCCACCCTCCTAGAATTTATCTACAGAGGGAGGGCATCTGTGCGTTGACAGGATAAGCGAGCCGGACATTGAGGGAGTCATTGTGTTGGACAAGGGAGGTATGCTGGTAATGAAGAACTAATTCTTTTAGGGTAGTGTAAAGGTTATATGGCTCTGCAAACCCATAACCTCTTGGAGTGCTGTAAATCACACAGTGTTTAACTTCACCATCAGCTCTGTTAAAAAAATAGAAAATTAAAAATTAACATGATAGTAATTTAGAAGGATTACAACAAGTGAGATACTGAAAAGTCATGATAAACATCAAGGAACCTTGGATACAACAGTATTCCTGTAATGATTTTCATGTTTAGAATGGCTTGCTATCTCATGAATGCTTGTCACGGTGCAGTGAAGGCTTTTTTAAAAAGCCTTTCAGGTTGTGACAGAGGTTCCTATTCTACTTGAATATCATCTTCCAAATCCTCTAGAGCTTAGCTTTATACAATATATAACATATTTACAATAAAGAATTTTTTTTGCCAGAGAACCTGCTTTTGGACTTAACTTTCAGTAAATCCATTTCAAAAAAATTAAAGCAGTTCAGGTAAGTGGCATTTAAGGTTCCAGTACTATTCCTGGGCAGATCCTAAGGGGCTCATTTGACCAGAATATATAGGGCAAACATTCACTCAGTACTAAAGCACATATAATTCTATCACACATGTAAGCAGAATAAATGCCCAACCTGCGAAGCATTTCAAGAACTACAAATTACCCATAATCTAGGGAAATGTACATCCTCTAGCTCTTGTAGAAACTTGTTTTGCTTATGTCACAAGAGCAGGAAGATACTAAACAATTTAACTTACTGACTGCACTAACATTATTGACAAAAGATATGATTGTGGACAATTCCCAACACATTATTTCCACAACATGGTGCCCTCTAGATGTAACTCCCATCATCCCTGACCATTGGCCATGTTGGTTGGAGCTGAATGGAGGTGGGGAAAGGCAATTAGCTCAGTGGTAGAGCGTCTGTTGGATGATTAGAACAGCCAAAAGAAAGTTATTCACAAAGTGCATAGTTAAACTATGGAATTTGCTCCACAAGTAGTAGTGATAGCCAGAGGGCTTTAAAAGAGAATTAGACACTAACCACAATGGCTGTGGTCTACCACCAAGGTTGGAGACACCGTATCCCCATAAATGCCAGGGAGAGTTCTGTTGCTGCTTTGGTATCTGTAAGAATAGGCCAATCCATTGGCCAATCCAGCAGGCTGCTTTTGTGTTTGTATGCTTTGTATGTGGAAGGTCCCAGGTTTGATCCCTGGCACTTTCAGGTAGGGCTTGGGAGAGAACCCTGTCTGAAATCTTGGAAAGCTACTGCCAGCAGACAATACTGAGGTAGATGGAGTATAAGACAGCTTCCTAAGTTCCTATACTAATCCAAACAACCAGAGGGCACCAGGTTGGGGAGGACTGCTTAAGTTGATATGCCATGTTATAATCTAAATGCTAAGAAATGTCTTCATCTTTTAAGAGACCACTGACCCAACTAAATGACTAATGATGAACAGAGACTGAATTAAAGTTCTCTCACTCCTGCTACCAAAGCTATTTTAATTGCAGATGTTGAGACACCAGTCCTTTGCACTATTGTATCCATGAAGAGATGCCAATTTTTTCCACTAAAATAGTGCATTTCTGAGCAAGATCTGGCTGCATGATTTGGAAGCAATAGCGAACCAGAAGAGTAGGCTCTAAGTAGCTGTTCACATGGGCAAATCAAGGCACTCAGTATTTTTCTTGAGTGTATATAATGATGACACTGAAAGCTTAAAAACACTTTAGAATATTTTTGTCAAGAGGACTAGGCAAAGAATGCAAATACAAAAGAGTCACAAACAGTATATAGATTATGGGACTGAGGTCTGGTTCTCTTAGTACTGGTTGTGCTGTGCCATTTAATTTACCATGTTTACTCGAATCTAATGCTCACCTTTTGGGGGCAAATTACACTGCGAAAATTGAGGTGCGCATTAGATTCAATGGCGCGTTAGACTCAAGTAAATACGGTAGAAAGCTAACCAAGTAAGCATTCAGTTATCTTTATGTTGCATTCTTCGCGTTAAACCAATTTTTAATTAAGAAAATATAAGGCAAAAAGCTATCCAAGTTATGCAGCCAAATTCTATACAGGGTTATTTTGATGCAGGTCCCACCAAATTTATTAGTCTAATGTGGCTGACTCCCCTGTAAGTGCACATAGAGGACTTGACCTAAAAGAAATCCAGGGAATCACTACTTACACCACAGAACAAGCATAACAGCCTTTCTTGCTACTTTCTCGAATTAAAAATGCTCCATCAGGTTTCCCACAAAGCAAATCTTCTGCTTGGATGCGATTGATATCTCCCACAAACCAAGATGTTTCATCATAATGTGGCAGATTTTCATCCTCCTCATTTGTAAAGTATGTACTAGGAAGAGACAACAAATCTTATTTCCTTAATGCAGGAATATTTCTGTATTAGGATTACTTGTTCTTGCATGAAGCAATTCATGCAAACAACAACAGAGGCCTAACTCACATTATTTTTATACCACTGTTAATTCCTGTGTATATGAGACCAAGCCCTGGAGAAACAATCAGTAGTTTTATGGTGCACAAGAAAACACTTTCATTGTCTCAGATGCTTACATTTCATCCATGCAAGATAATAGATACTAAGATTTTTAAAAATTAATTTGTACTAATTATATATCGCTAGTAGTAAATATGTTAGAGGGATGGATAGAGTTATTTTTTTCTGAATGATTCTTCTGGAACTGTACACCACTAAGAGAAAAATCCCTTGGTGTTATCTGAAAATCTATATGCATGACCAGATATTGTCACATGATTAGGAAAAAGTGTACATGGTCGTATGACAGCCACATGCATGTACACCAACACAGAGCTACACACTCCTGTCATGCACTATTTCTATACACTTTAATCATCCATACTGCAAAATTCAGAGTAGTTGTACAAAAACACTTACTCAATATTTTCGTTTTTTATTCCAAGCCAGTCGTTTATTCTTTTCTGCCTCACTCCTTTATGATTAAGCCAGCTGCCAGAGAGAAAATATACTGTAATACGGTCTAATAGTTAATATCATCTACAAAAAGGACACTTAACAATTCATAACATTCTGAGGCCATAATTGGTCTTCCTATAGCAGTGTCCTTACTGAAGGAATATATCAAAACCTGAATTATAAAAAGCATATACAGTTAGTTGTACTTACTGCATATGGCTGCACATTGTACAACATTTTGAGCCTTTTGGAAAATTGACCTCCTCTATGTAAGATTTTCACTCACATCCCCTTCCTTCCCCCTCCTAGCAAGATACGGGATTTGCTCACTGGATATCCCAATTCCATTTAGTGGGTAAGCAGTTAATGCTCAGAAAAGCAGCTTATCTACGAGGGCGCTGGTTAGTTATCTGCTGACTTGGTACACCCAGTGTGGATTCAGTATAGGCTCTATTTCACTTCAAAGCTAACAAGAAAATTCAGCTGGAACCAGAAATGTTCCATACAAGACATGCTATGGATTAGTTATTATTAAGCCAAGCACTTATTACATGAGTGCTGAAAAGGCTAACCAACTGTTAACGTCCTTTCATGTTAAGTGCTCAGCTTCCTTTCCATTAATATAGTTGGGCCAAATTAGATGAGACACCATTCACACAATTAATAGGAATTGTGTGAATTTTTTTTGTAAGTAATTTGAAAGAACATATCCCCCATCTGTGCTTTAAAGCCTGCTTGTAGCTCCAACAGTAGCTGAAGTCAGTTTTAAGAAGCAGGACCTTCTTTGTTTGGGCACCCTGAATATGGAACTCGCTCCCGTTGGAGATGCTGTTGTCCCCCATGTTATCTATTCTCAAATGCCAAGTTAAGACATACCTGTCATATCAAACATGAAGGATTTTTATTTTTAGCCATTGACTGTTTTATGATGCTTATGCATTTTAATGATTTTATGGTTGTTGAGTATATTTATTGACTAGTTTTTGTACTTCCCTAGAAAACCTTTGGGATGAAAGGCAGGTTATAAATAAAAGAAATAAGTGAATAAGTACAGTAGACCTGATCTGCATCTGTACCAGAGTAGGGGTCTTTAATCATTAGGTGACATGAAGAGCCCAATCTGGATTGGGACACAAGTGGAGGGTTAAAACTCCAACTCCCACCAAGGTCTTAATCTAGCTCAGGCCCACTCTATTTACTTCTAAAATGACACCAACACAATGCTAATTCTGTGAATGACCCTAACCAGAATACTGGAGACTCACAGACCGGCTATTACTTACACAAGGTACTGATCTCTGATTTTGCGCAGCTGCATAAGATCAGGTTTGATACTGTTCATTTTCTTGTCAGTTTCCCGGTTGTCTAGAGCTTGCTTCTTCAAATCCTGTTCCAGTTGCAGCTTACTATCATGGATTTCACCCAGACGCGATTTTAATTTTTCATAATTCATCGCAATGCTGTAAAGAAGTGACTAGTTTTTAAAGGGTAAAAGTTACACACAAAAATAACCACTCTCATCTACAACTAAATAGTACATAGTGACTGTATTAGGCACTGTGGAAGACATTGGCTTCATTCATTCATTTCAGACTAAAAGTGTATCTACACAAGAGCTTCCTGATCCTTTTACAACTTAAGCACTAAACCACAGGTGCAGAAAGTCTACCTTGGAATAGCAGTTGTAAGGTGTAGAACAGAACATTCTAGCAAAAGCACCTGGACAATACCACTCCTTCCTCTCTATTATCTGAATATTATTTAGACGAAGACTTTCATGACTAAAATTATGCTAACAGAACATGTTTCTTGATCTGAGCTTAACTGAAGAAAAAATGGAAAAGTTTGAGCAGTCTCAAAAGTAAAGAGACCACATGCATCAGATATGATCTTCCACTGATACTCTGCTGCATCTGTCTCCTTCTTCAGAGATAAAGTAGGTGGCCACAGCAGACAGGACCTTTTATTGGTATAGAGGTTGCTGAATAAAACAGGGAGGGTGTGCTGCAGAGTCTGCTTTATTTGGGCATGAGGGTTTGTAATTTGCCTTTCCTGTGTAGATTCTGCTGGTTTAATATAATATTGCTAGGTTTTTTTATTCCATTTGTTGTTTTCATTATGAAAACACTGCTGAAAATTGCCCTGTAAGCTGTATTAGAGGCCTTGTTAAGGAGAATAAAGATTTAAATTAATTTTAAAAATGAAGATAAGTTACCCTATTGTTTATTACAAGCTGCCCAACTACTACCATTTGAACTTCAGAAGACATTTTGCCTGGATAAGATACCTCACATGAATACTTTTCACAGTTATTAGAAAAAGCATCCACACTATTGTTCATGTTGTTTCATTATCTAACAAATTATTTAATTGAGAATCTATGCTGTTAAGAACACTCTTAAGAATAGCCACCTAAGTCTAGCAAACTGTCTCCAACAGTGATCAACCAGATTTCCATTTAGGTAGCTGCCCTTTCCTAAACCTTTTCCAGCTCTATTAAAATTCTGTCATTCCTTTTTCAGAAGAAGTTGATCTGGAGCTCTTCATCTTGCTTGGGATTGTGCTTCTTGAGTAATTTCAACTCAATCCATGATTTACTAAATTTTAAACATGGAAAAAGTTGCTATCTAAATTCAACAGAACACCAGGTAACATGCAGTCAGTTTCCTTGTAAATTTCATACAGTGCGGAAATTGCTTACAACAAAGGTGTCTGATCTATAGCACAGTAGTTATGTAACTAAATATGATGATATAGTGTACAGTGGAGGTCAATGGGAGAAATTATAATTATGGAGAACACAAATGCAGTTACTACCTGAGGCCAGGACTGGCAACAGAAGTGGCATTTGGGCAGACCTACCGTTCAATTTCCTTCTCATTTCCTTCTCTTCTGAATCGTTCAATGTATTCTTTGCTGTATCGCTCTTGGGTGTGACACTGCTCTTCAAATATTTTAATTGTTTCATTAAAAGCTTCTATTGCTGTTCTCTTCATTTGAATTTCCTGCACAGAGAAACCAATTTCAAAAATCACCATTACTCACCAGAAGCACAAAGCTGTAGAACTATTTGATTATTATTTTTACATAAATCAAAGCAGATAATTTATAGGTCTATATGATTTGATTCAGTATTGAAAAGTATATAATCCAAACACTGAGTGAATTACCAGTTTAAAGTATCTAATCTACAAGATCCTCTTGGTTAGTCAGATACACCTGCTTTGCCTTCTTTCACCTTGAGAAAAAAGTTGTACAACTTTACTGAGCATTTCACAAAATAAAGCTATTAAAGCAGTTTACAAAACAAAACAAAACAACCCAAGTTCTAAGAACAATATCATTTTAACAAACTCTAAAGATATGCAATTGTTTCATAAATGACTGGTTACACACCTCAGGGAACGCGTTAAACAAAAATGTCTTCAATACATGCCTACACAGTATGACACAAGGCCCCTGTCTAATTTTGGCAGGTTACTTGAGAGAATGTCTTATGCCAAACACACCCAGCAGATTGCTGTTGTCTGGGGGAGGGTCCTGCAAGTTTCAGCATCTCAGAAGCCCACTATGCAGTAACTCAGAGAACAGCTTTTAGTGTGGCTGCCCCTGTTCTGTGGAATAGCATTTCTACTGAGATATGACAGGCGCCCACAATCTGCAAACAGTTGAAGACATTTTTGTTTCAACAAGCTTTCCCAGTTGTATACACAAGTCTTTATCATGAGTCTCTACATGTTGGGGTTTTAATCTTGTTTTAAATGTATTTTTTTACTTTGTGTTTTTAACTGTTTTTAATTATGTTATGTGTAAATCACCCTGAGATGGTGGTTTAAAAGGCTATTAATAAATTAAGTGCAATATTAATAACAGATTCTAAAAAGCTAGAGCTGCAACACTGAAAGTGCAGTTTCTAATACAAACTAAGTGCACCTCTAGGGCATATACACACATCATTTTTTTCTTATGCCACCTTTCCATAGATAAAACCATGCTTAAGGTAGCTTACAACTTGAAAAAAATTGTGTAATTACAAATATAACAAAAATAGTCATTAACAGTATCTAAAACTCATCAAAAAGTACACAACCTAATTAACAATTTCCACATTAAATCATAGTAAGATCCACAGTAAGCCCAAGGGAAGCCCCATGGAGTGTGTGTTGCAGGAATGCAGCCTTGAGGTTAGTAGAGTGGCCAAGCTATCTTGGTCCAGGAAAAGTCATAGGTGTCTTACTAACTGAAGCTGGTAGAAGACACTTCTAGCCTCCAAGGCCACCTATACCTTAAGTGACAAAGATGGATACAGGAGCACTTCCAGATAATATACCTGCTCTTTCAGAGGCGGTGCAACCCCATTCAGAACATGTAACTCTACCCATATCCAAGACATGGGGACCACTCACCCACAAGACCTATGCCTTGTCAGAGTTTAAACTCAGTTTATCTGCTGCTATCCAACCCACCACTGCAGACGGATACTGGTCCAGCCTGCACAGCCACTCCGTCAGATGTTACATAAAAACAGTGGTGTGTGTTATCAGCATACTAATAGCACTTTGCTCCAAATTCCTTAATGCCCACTCCGAAAGACTTCACAGATGTTAAAAGAATTGGGGACATAGATAGGGACCCTGTGGCTATCCAGTTCCCATCACTCCTGTGGATTGGCTATGATGGCTAGGGGCTGATTGGAACTGGGAGTGCAACAACATGATTAGAACTCTGAGTATACAGAATTGGGAGAAACTAGCTCCAATCCTGGTGATCAGCTACAGGGTCAGGATTGAAGCCAGGGCTTCATTTATACAAACCATCTACTCTATCTAATACAGGTACCTGAGAGCACTCATGGATGGATTTCAAGTGCAAAGTTACACACATGCAAGTATATTTATAGGTATGAAGAGGACTTGTGGTGATTTTGCTAGTGACCTCTATTCACATGTCCTTTTGTGTTGCTCTGAATCTGCATAACCATGGCTTCAGACATAATTCCTAGCTAGCCAAAGCAGTTTGTACAAGTCACAGACTTGGATCCTGAGACCCATTAAATGCAACAAGACCTTGAGGTTACAGTGTTTCAGTAATGACTGCACAAGCAGAGTCTCGGGAAGAAATATTCTGTGGTAGCATAAGCCTTACACAGTGTATTTACATCATCTTAGAATATTTTCATACAAACACCAAGGTCCATATTTTATATAACTCTTTGTGCTGACGTTAGAAAAAATCAACACAGAGACCCAGTACCTTCAAAATATATTCCAAATACAGTAGATGAATCAAATATTCTTACACAACACACCATGCCAACTCTTGTCAATGGTGATGGATACATGCCTCAAAGACTTTCTAGGGTGCATTTCAGTTTTTTCCTGTTTGTTTGCAGGCTCATTTGTTTGCAATACTATTTGATTTAATATTTTAGTTTAATTAAATATATATATATTAGCCAATGCACAGTGTGCAGTTCATTTGATGAAATAATCATTTGTGAGCACAGCTTTAGAAGCAGTAACTATGAGACAGACTGGCTCCTCAAAGTGTCAGCGTAAAGAATCAAGCCAGTCTTGCACAAATTATTGAGCAATGCACACCAGCATAATGGCTTACACAAACAGTTCTTTACTCAGACTATTACCCAGTTTCTTAGTGCAAACACTTTCCATCAAGTTTGAACTCTGTTTCTGTTAGCGCGAAATGCTTTGCTTTCATGGAAAATTTTGTTAGGAGGTAAGCTGTACTGTTTAAAGACTGCAGGTCTGTCCCCCCCGCCATTTCTCTGCTAGACTACCACTTAGCAGATTCATGATGCTGTGCTGAAATGTTCCACAGCAGAGCATGATCTTCCTGATAGCTTGGCATCCAAGACTATACACTCAAGAATGCCATTCATTCAAAATCTGTAACAGTTCCCTTCTGCTGGACATTGCTCTAGCTATATGTTAGGTGGGAGCAGATTCCTTTTCCTATGCTGGCCTCTTAACATACAATGCAGGGGATAAAAAGTAGGTGGGAAGTGTGTATGTGTCTTTAGCTTTCCTCCCAGCTACTTTATCTGTGAAACCTCTCCTCCTAGCTGCTTTTGCTCCAGGCTGGCTCCAACACCAGGTTTCTCAGTACAGTGGTGCCTCGCAAGACGAAATTAATTCGTTCCGCAAGTTTTTTCTTCTTGCGAGTTTTTCGTCTTGCGAAGCACGGTTTCCCATAGGAATGCATTGAAAATCAATTAATGCGTTCCTAGGGAAACCGACCTCAGACCAGGTCCGCGGACAGTCTGTCCCCCGACCTCTTCTGAAGGCTGGGGGGGGACGACGAAGGGCTTTTCTTCCCACCCCCAGCATTTTAAAAAACCCCGGGACAGCGGAGGACTTCTCCGCTGTCCCGGGGTTTTTTAAAATGCTGGGGGTGGGAAGAAAAGCCCTGGGAAGGCAGGCAGGGGGGACAAAGACTTTTGCCCCCCGCCAGCCTTCAGAAGAGGTCCTGGACCTCTTCTGAAGGCGGGCGGGGGGCGAAAGTCTTTGCTCCCCCCCGCCTGCCTTCAAAAGCCGTCGGGGACAGCGGAGAAACGCGCTGCGTTTCTCCGCTGTCCCGGGAAGGCAGGCAGGGGAGAGCAAAGCCTTTTGCCCCCCGCCCGCCTTCAGAAGAAGTCCAGGACCTCTTCTGAAGGCGGGCGGGGGGTGAAAGTCTTTGCTCCCCCCGCCTGCCTTCAAAAGCCCTCCGGGACAGTGGAGAAACACGCCGCCCGGGGCGATTTTAAACCCGCTGTCCCGGGTTTTTTTAAATGCTGCCGGGCATCAGCGCTGCCGCCTGGCAGCATTTTAAAATCGCCCCGGACAGCGGAGAAGTCCCCCGCTGTCCCGGGGTTTTTAAAAAACCTCTCCGCCCCCCGCCAGGCTTCGGAGCAGCCTTCCGAAGCCTGGCGGCGGGAGGAGGTCCGAGGACAGTGGGGAAGAGGCGCTGCGCTTCCCCGCTGTCCCGGAGATTTCCCTATGGGCTTTCGTCTTGCGAAGGAAGCCCACAGGGAAATTCGTTTTGCGAAGCGCCTCCGCGACGGAAAACCCTTTCGTCTAGCGGGTTTTCCGTCTTGCGAGGCGTTCGTCTTGCGGGGCACCACTGTACTGTGAGCAAAAGAGCACAGATCAAACACTGTTCCCCCCAATTTGGATTGGAGATTGTATATTTGCTGTTAAAACTCTAGTTCAGGCCCAAGTAACCATGAGAACACAATGCAGCAACACACCTGTGATGTTCTGGTGTATTCTTCATATAGTCTGTCATATTCCTTACTTTTCTCTTGATACTGGGTGTGGTACTCCTGAAGCTTTTTGCCCACAGCATCAATATTATCTTCTTTTACCAACTGATCCTGCATACATAAAAAAGAAAATAAGTATACTTTTCTATGAAAGACATTCAAGTGCTGACCTATCTGCAGAGCTACTCTTACGGAAACACAAGACAGTCTTAGCCTGAACAACAAAGCCTCTCTACATCTACCAATACATTATCCTTAACTTCTGAATACTGACTATTCTGTTACTCAGGAAATACGTATAAATGTTTGAGATTGTAGAATTAACAAATTAGTTTTGGGACCTTTTATCTGAGCAAGCACTATATTTCTTTTAGAGAGCATGATAGGCTTTCAATACTTTAATGTTTCTTCTACAAAAAAAAATTATACTATTTTGCCTTTGTAAACTTTATAGTTTGGAAGAGATACCAATAATGATAGAAAAAATAGCAGGCAACGTTCCAGATTTACTAAAAAGCAGAGAATCAGTTCATCTTCATTTCTCTTGCAAGATCAAAAGTTTTATGCACATATAGCTATTACAGCCAATGAGAGACTATGACAAGCATGAATTTAAAGGAGTGTATGCCAAATTAGGAACCAGCTACTTCCTAATATAGTGATGAATGTTAGTGTTCTCATACAAAACCCTGTCTTTACAAAAAACAATTTTTTATTAAAACTCAGTAAAAACACACATTTAATGGTAATACAGGGTTCTTTGAAAATCTCACCTGCTGGTATCTGGATACAGGATACATAAGCTTCACATCTAGTTTAGGGTTATACTGGGCAAGAGACTCATGGTGATAGTGGTTAATCAGTTCCACAACAGAATTGAATGTCAGTGGATCAGAAAAACCGTATTTCCCATCCCGGTGATAAATTTTTATCAATTTATTGTTGCCACCCTTCCTGCATTAGAGAGAATTAAAAAAACAAGCATATCATTATGTGCATTCATGTTGCATACTATAAGCATGCTAATCCAAAAAGACAAACAAACTCCTGCATAGTTACTTTGCACTACATGTTGTTGACTTTGTAATAGTGCAATACTGTAATTTGAGAGTAATATTCAGTCAAAAAACATCTCAACTGTAGTTGTCACAGGCTTCACTAATTTGTAAAATTAGTATTGAGGAATTGTATAAAGGAATAGTTGACCTTTTAGCACATCATATGGTCCAGTTACTTTGACAGTACTTGTTTCCTACAAAACTTCACACCTAACAAGCTAGGTGGCCAGTAATATTCCTCACCAACTTGTTTGCCATAGCTATTCTTCTGGATTCAGTCTTGCCTACATGAGTCTTGCCTACATGTACAAAGGGGCTACTCAGGGTTAGCGAATGTGGTGGCCTCTAGATGTTGCTGAACTACAAGCCCCATCCATCCCTCAGCACTGACCATGATGTTTGCACTGATGGGAGTCCAACAATATCTGAAAGGCACCATGTTGGCTATCTGTGGTTACTCAGGTAACAACAATGTTGGTACTTAACACTAAATCATGGTTAGTACTATGTGAATGAGATGGAGTTAAATGCTGGGGCCCACATCTTCCCTATGAAGTTGAGGGAAGACTTCAGCAGTATTTACATTCACTTTCAGGGAGTCCTGGCTTGCTATGTTTAAACCCAGAATCCTGATATAAAACAAACTCTGGTAAATTCCATAATCTTTAAGTAAAAACATGTGTTACAAAGCTGACTTGTAAAACTAAGCAGAATTTCTTTTAAGCCAGGTTACCCAATTCAAATGTTATAACCAGCAAAGATTCCCTGTAAGTGAAATGAAACTTATAGTCTCCAGACTATGCATAAGTATGTGAGTCGAATGCATTACTTGGGCTCATTCACACATCACTAAACCAAACTTTTGCATTTGTGCAATGTGGTCACCATCTACCCGAAGTTTCTATGCAGAATGGGTCCAGGAGTGCCTTGGGATTGTGCACTCCCTCCATAGGCACTTTCACAGCAGAAACATGTATTATAAAAAGAGGCAGCCTACATTTACTTAATGATAAATGCCATTAATTTCTGCTGAGAAAAATAAAGCACTATGTTTGGGGACAACATTGTAGGGAAGCTAAAACCTACCTATCACTCCCAATACCAAACGTACACAGCCATTAAGAATTCCATCAGAAAGCAAGACTAGGCTTGTTGGGGAGAGGAAAAGTTTATGATATCCCATCTCCCATCTGATTAGGAGGCAGGTACAAGCAGGACAACATTTTTAGCCCTTCCAGTTTGGGATAAGTGGAAAGTGTTCCTTACTTCTTTCTATCTATATTAACTTTGGGAGGAGGATTAAGATTTGACATGGCAGAAGCAACAGTCTTAAGTGATGGGTAGCTTTGTGAGAGAAGTAAAGGGAGAAGAACTGGGGAAAGGGTTGAGATTCTTCATCCCTCCCTTTCCCATCTTTTAGCCATTGGTGAAATTACAGCATATGGGGAAGGCTATATACACTTTGTACTAAGACATTCCAAATGTCCTGCAAAGGAAAGACAAATTCCTCAAAAAGAGGGGTTGATCCTTAGTTTGCTTATTTTATGCTGCCTTCAGAATTGAAATACTCAAGTTTTTTTAAAGCAAGAACTGGAGACAGGAGAGGAGAGAACAAGAAAAGAATGCGAAGAGCTTCAGAGAAGTTGTAGGGTTCAACAAAGAGCTGTGCAGGGTCCTGAAGCCACATTACCCTTGCCCACTCTATTCTCCCTTCACAGACGGAAGCCTCTCTATTGTCAAAAAAGCTAGAACAAGAGTAGCCAACATGGTGCCTCCATATGTTGTGAACTACAAATTCCCAGCAGCCCCAACCAGCATAGCCAATGGTCGGGGAGATGGGAATTGTAGTCCCAAATATATGGAGAGCTACCCCTAAACGCAAAATTGGTTTTAAACAGAAAAAGCTAATAATTCCCATGATGCCAAAGTCCACTACAGATTGCAAATTATTTGATGCAACATAAAGCTGTTCATTCTGCGCTCTCTTTGTATAGCCTAGCAGAAAATGTAAAGTTCCAAGATAATGAAAACATGGTGCTTGTATTTACACTAGCTACAAACACCTAGACAAATTTATCAGCAGGTACTACCTACAATTTGTGCAGGACAATAGAGAGGGCAAAGTCAAAATTATTTACCGCAATGTCAGTGTATAGTCTCCTTGTTTCTTTGTTGATGCATCCCGCACCAGGAATGTTCCATCCGGCATGTCTCGTAATTTGTCATTTACCTCTTCCCTGGAATAACAAAATGTAGATCAAAGTATTACTCATTCATAACAGCACCACTCATTGTTACAAGAGTGTGTGTGTGTGTGGGGGGGGGGTACCTTTACTTTGGTTCTGAAATTATTTTTCTTTAAAACTGTCTCATTCCAGTTTTATGTTGACCAATACATAGTATCTGTAATCTGTTTTAAGAATTTTCAAAGGTAAATTTGAACTTTTAGAATCTGGAAGCAGCTGCACCTGAAGCCTCATTCCTAAATGGAGGCCAATAGTTGAGCACCAACACTTAACTGTATCTGATTAAATAAACAAAGGGCTGTTTCATACTGCCCTAATGTCCTATAGAGAAGTTGTATTTCATTTATTTTATAACAAGATAGTAATTGTTTATTATAAACAATTAAAATTTATTGGTTTACAAGTAAATAGAAACTTTATACTGCCTAGGATGATATTCAAAATAAGACTAGAGGTTTATTATCTATCTAGAGACAGGAGAGCAACTGTGAAATTAAGGATTTCTGTTTGGCACTCTGTACATATCCAAAGGCACCATGAAAGATCACTTATTCAAAGACTGATAACTTTCTAAAAGCAATGCTTGGCAGTTACTGGGCAGAAGAATTTCTTTCATGAGATAAAAAGAAGTTGCTGCTTGGCTAGCAGAGTCAAAATATTTGTAATTTGCACAATACATGCCCTGAGTATCATATTTATAATGTTTGTTCTCAAAAGTGCCATTTTTATCCCTGGTTTCTCCTTTTACATAGAAAAGAGGTTGTTAAACTGAAATGTGTTAGACAGATGGTCATGGATTCAATATGAAAAGATAATTTCATGGATTCAATATGAAAAGATAATTAAACTCAGGTTTCCTTTTATTTGTGACACTTAATATAAATGGTTTTATTTTAAAATTGCCAAATTGTTCAGGGTGGTTAAAACAAAAAGGATCAGTGAAGAGCTCCAAAAGGATCTCTCTGCAGTGAGTAAACAGGCAGTGAAATAGCAAATGCAGTTCATTATGAGCAAGTTTAAAATGGTACACATTGGGACCATATTTTACATATATGCCAATGGGATATGAGCTACCAGTGACTGACGAGGAATGAGACCTTGGCATCATAGTGGACAATACTGACCCCAGTGTGAGGCAGACGTGCTAGGGATCATTAGGAAAAGTATTGAAAATAAAATTGCCAATATTGTAATGCCATTATACAAATCTTTGGTGTGATCACAGTTGGAATGATGTGTACCAGTTCTGGTCACCTCATCTCAAAAAGGCTATAGTAGAGCTGGAAAAGTTTGTGAAAAGGGCTACCAAATTGATGAAGCAGATGGAGCAGCTCTAGTATGAGGAAAGGTTACAACACTTGGGGCTTTTGGTTCAGATAAAAGACAAGTATGAGCAGACATGATAGAGGAGTGAAGAAAGTAGATGGGGAGGGGGATTTCTCTCTCTCATAACACTAGAACTTGGGCACATCCAACAATTCTTAATGTTGGAAGATTCAGGACAGACAACACAGTACATAGAAAAAATCATATAGAAATCATTCTCATAAGTGGTGGTCAATTTAGATGGCTTTAGATGATGATTAGACAAATTCATGGAATATAAGTCTATCAATGGCTACTAGTTATGATGGTTAGGGTCTGCCTCTACTGTTGTAGGCAGTATGCCTCTGAATAGCAGCTGGTGGTTGTCAGAGGTGAGCAGAGTGCTATTGTGCTCACATTCTGCTTGCAGGCTCCTCATGAGCATCTGGTTGGCCACCATGAGAACTGGATGTTGGCTATTATTTTGTCTGATCCAGCAGGCTCTTCTTATGTTCTTAACCCCGGCCTCATAGTGAAAATTATTACAGATTTCTTAACTGTTTTAAAATGGTGACAACACAGTCTAGAAAATGATATATGTGCACTAAATTTAAGATTAATCCGTTCACAATGTTACCCGAATAATAATACATTTTAATACGTACATACAAAGCAGGGGTATAGAAACATTGGCCCAGATGTGACTCCTAGGGTCTCTGGATCCTGCCTGCATTGCCCCCACCTCACTCTGTCCCTTTCCCACTGCAATTATGTGTAAAATGGCTTTATTCAGGGACTTTTCCCTCCATGTGTGATGCAGCCCTCCACACATCACAATCAAGCTTCAAAAATGCCTTCTATTGGAGCAATTAAAAGTCTATTTTTGTCGAAAAGTGGTATGTAGAGGGTGTATGTGGGACATTCTTCCCAGAGAGTGCAGCTGAAGAAGAACCTTCCCTCCCTCTCCAATACCCCCCGCAAAAAAAGGCTTCAATAAAGTTAAAATGATGCACATATAAGATTGTGGGTATGGTATGTGGGGTATGCATGTGATTTGCATGTGGGGAAGGCATGCAGCCTCCAGAAGGCTGGCCAAGAAATGTACCCAACCTATGATATAAAGGAAAGCTGCAAGTAAGCCACATTCTCCTCCAGGGAAAAAAAAAATCTTACCTTGAAATGTCTCCCCAGTACCATTCGGCATCCTGCAGTGATGAACTGCAATTCTCTTTTATCCCACTTGTATTTACTGGAGTTATTGGTTTGGAGGGCTTTGGAGGAAGAGCTGGAAGAGAGATTTCGTTGGTTTACTTTTTTGGCTTTATAACGATATCTCAAAATATTAAATAAGGGATTCAATCAGGAAATAATACATTTTAGGTAAAGCATTGTATGGTACTAAAGACCTGTGAGAACTGAAGAGAAAGAAAAGGAAAGTGACAGAAATCCCTTTTCATCTGAGATTGTGGTACTAAATCAGAAATGTCTGGTTTTAATTATGTCTGGTTTAAATGAAAGATGATTTGGCAAGGAATAATCAATTACTCAAAATATTTTTCTATTTACTTCTACAATGCCTACCACACTAAAGTAGTTAAGATGATTCACTGACTTCTGTTTCAAAGGCTACTTTTAAGTGCCCTAAGTACAGTAGTTCACTGTTCTTGCACATGCTGAATCAAGCCAATTTAAATTATACTGAACTTTAACCTAGTTATTCAAACTCTGAGTTGCTGATCAAGCATCAGATTCAGTTGACAGCATACAAAACAGCCAGATTCCAGGATAGAGGTTTGGTTTTTTACTATATCCTCCTCAAATTGCGCACGTTCACATTTCTCACATCAATAGCCCACCTTTCTTCCATCATGGAACCACAAGGAGCCACTGCCCAATGCCAGACCGATTATAGAGTTTTGGGTTTTGTTTGCTTATGTGGGTTGGACGCCATAAAATTTAAACTACACCTAAAATTTTAACAGATTTTGGAACTTTTTTTTTTTAAGCGTGAAAAAAGTTATGGATTGGGCCATCTATTGGACACCTGTAGGACACTGGTCTTGCAGAAGGCACTGTAAGTTTGGGCACCAGTCACAGGTCTGCCTTCAGTGACAATACAATACTTGAGCCCAGCACCATGAGAGAGTGGGGCTGATGAAAAGTAACACATTTTGTTGCCTGGCAACAATTCTGAAGTTGACTGTGAAGTGCTTTGGGGACACATCCTACTTTTTTCAAACTACAGCAACATACTTCCATGTTCTGCATCCAGAGAAGACTGGCCCTCCAAATATATAAGGAGAATAGTACATAATCCAAATTCCAGCCCTTGACCCTAGGACTGGCCATGCTCTAATCTATTTTACTGAAAATTAGCCTAAGGCTATGCTTGCAAAGACCAGGGCATTTTTGGATTGGCTTTATATGTCTGTGTAGCCACCCTGGCAATTTATGTTGCACTGCAGTTTCATGCCATAAAAGCCACTGGACTACTGACAAAGTTGCGCTAGGTCAGGGCTAACCAATATGGTGTCCTCCAGATGCAGTTGCACAGCAGATTGCATCATCCCTGATCCCTGGACCTGTTGGCTGGGGCTGATTGTGGAGGTAGTCTAATAACATCTAAAGGACACCACATTGGCTAGACCTATGCTAGGGAGTGCTGTATGGTTTAGCCTTGTTCCCCATACCCTTTAAATATATATTCAGAACTACTGGAGATTTTATCAAAGGATTTGGAGTTGAGCTTATCAGTATGCCAATGTCACTCAGCTTATTCCTCATTTTCCAGAAAAACAAGGTGAGCTGGTTGAGTGGATTCCTGGCATCTGTAATGGACTGAATAATGATTAATAAACTGAAGCCAAATCTAGACAAGACAGATGTTGAGAATGGGAGGTATGACTGATCTAGAAGCTGGTGACTTTCCTGTGCTGGACAGTGGTCCTATGTGGGTGGGTGTGTCTCCCCAGTCACCAGTCAGGGCTTAGAAGGCACCCTAAGTCAGCACAAGATTGTTAAACACCAGGGGCCAAAGCTTACTCTCTCAGTGCTACTCTTTGGGCAAAACCCTGCAGATAGTAAGGAAGCCACCTTAACAAGAGTTCTAGCAAAAGCCAGAACATTCAACACATAGCAATCAACCAACCAGTACACAAAGAAAGAAAACTACATAGGGGAAGGCAGAGGAAAGGAGGGGAGAGAGAAAAGATCATGAGAGAAGGTAAATCTCAGGCATCCTACTCTGCCTCTCACCTGGGGTACTATAACCCCAATACTACCTCTCATTTAGGGGTGATGACACCCACTAGATTGACTTATTCTGACAATACATGGGGGGGGGAACCATTCATATAGAGAGCGGGGGGGGGGGGGAGACAGAGAGAGTCATCCAACAGTCAGCACCAAATACAATCAACACCCTAACAGAGCACCCCTGAATCATGCAGTTCCACCCTGAGAGTCTTACACCCATTTTATCATCTGAGGGGCCAGTTCAGTTTTAGAGTAGTTAAATTTGTCAGTGAGATTTAGTCTTTGTTACATATAGGTCAGCTTGCAAATATTTATTTATTCACTATTAAAATAATTTATATATTGCTTTTCAGACTGTCTCGCCAGAGTGGTGCATGCTTTGGTTATCTCCCGCTTGGACTATTGCAATGTGCTCTATGTGGGGCTACCTTTGAAGGTGACCCAGAAACTACAACTAATCCAGAATGCAGCAGCTAGACTGGTGACTGGGGGCAGCCGCCAAGACCACATAACACCAGTCTTGAAAGACCAACATTGGCTCCCAGTACGTTTCCAAGCACAATTCAAAGTGTTGGTGTTGACCTTTAAAGCCCTAAATGGCCTGGGCACAGTATACCTGAAGGAGCGTCTCCACCCCCATCTTTCTGCCTGGAGGCTGAGGTCCAGCACCAAGGGCCTTCTGGCAGTTCCCTACTGTGAGAAGCAAAGCTACAGGGAACCAGGCAGAGGGCCTTCTCGGTAGTGGTGCCCGCCCTGTGGAATGCCCTCCCATCAGATGTCAAAGAGATAAACAACTACCTGACATTTAGAAGACATCTGAAGGCAGCCCTGTTCAGGGAAGTTTTTAATGTGTGACATTTTAATGTATTTTTAATCTTTGTTGGAAGCCGCCCAGAGTGGCTGGGGAGGCCCAGCCAGATGGGCGGGGTACAAATAAATTTATTATTATTATTATTATTATTATTATTATTATTATTATTATTATTCATTTCAAGAATAACAAAAGTGGACCCTCCATTGCACCTCAGGACAGAATGCCAGCGTAGGAGCTGGAGGGCAGGCTGTGTGGCACCCAGCTCTGTCTTCCAGCACTTTGCTGCCATTTCCTGCCCCTGCTGCCTGGGGGTAAGTATTTCATTCTGCCTGAGGAATGGCTGTGTATGGCCCATCCCCTTCACATGTTTGAGAGTCCTTCCCGAGTTCTCGGCAGTTTGTGAATAACTCAGGAATGGACCTGTGTGCAGCTGGGCATTTTCAGAAGGCCAGGTACACCTGCCAAACAGTTAATCTGTGGGTGCCTGAACACACACATATGGAGAGGAGAGTGCTAGACCTTTTGGAGGATCAATCCATGTTGCTCTTGCAATGCTGCATTTCCGTTAGATGCACAAGCTAAACAGATGGCAACCTAAGGCTTTCTGCTCCACTTCACAGAGCACCTAGCAACTCAGGCTTATTTGTGCAGTTTATGCACACCCAGAAACTCGAATAAGATATTTGTGTACAAGCCTGATGTGCTAAGTACTCTATGTGGAAGAATGGAAAGATGGCCTAAATGACAAGCGGCACACAAATAAGGGTGTTAGTTCAGTCAGTCTCCCTTACTCCATACTGTCTGGCTTGGACATTACAGATATCTGAACTGTGACGCAAGTTATTTCTTAATTTAAAATATTTATATCTTACCTTTCTACAATTGCTTAAGGCCACTGACAACTTCAATTTAAAACCATTTCATTCAAAGTGAACATCAAAAACAAATCAAATTCCTCCCCCCATCTAATATTCCCAAACAAATGGGACTTGCATCTAAAGGCAAGGAAGAAAGAAAAATGATATGTGGTGGTGGTGTGTTCATTCATTTCACAAAGCTGGTGCAGCCCAAATAGCACTCTGCTTACCATTAACAAATAACCTCCCTGGTAGGAGAGCAACAGGGAAGTTCTCAATGAAGATCTTAAAAAGTTAATGGGCTCTAATGTGGAGTGGTCTTTTTCAAGTCCAATTGCTGGAGGGTGAGCTTGAGGAGTTTGCAGCTGGGGAAGACAGAGTTAATTTTTCCCTTTCCAGGTGCACCCTTTAGGAAAATCACCCATGCAACAATTAGGCAGTTAACCCTTCTTTCTCCAGCTGCAACCAATAACGGCAAATACATTTATAAATACATAAATTCAAAAATCAGCATATGAAATTGGGGCAAGAACTTCAACAGCAGCAGTACAACTGGCAAAGTACAGTCAATTCTGTTTCCATCTGCCATCCCCCCGCCCAAACAGGCAGGCATATGACATTCTGCACTAACTGCAGTACAGTATTTGAATAGTCTTCAGCAACCCCACTTATGGCACACAGCAGTAGTGAATCCTGGAAATTACAAAGGTATAGATAACTTGGTGCAAGTTCTCTACCTCCACTAAAAAAGCATAACAACAGCATATCAGATGCAACTGGGGGTGGTTGGAAAGGACACTGCTTTTCCATGGGAAGAAATAGATTCAAGATGCATTCCTGCTCCAATAAAGCAACAAATATACTACTGATAATAGGTACACTTCACACACTCAGAGCCTCAAGCCTCCCAGTCAACATAATCTCCACCTTGTCTTGATTCAACTTTTGCTTGTTAACTTGTCATCTACCTTAAGAGAGCTTCCACCAACCAATTCAGAGAAGTTGCTTAAAGAAAAATAAAGCTTGATGTAGTGACAACAGTATATTGATTATACCTAACCACAAAGCTCTGCATTATCTCTCCTGGTGGCTTTATAGATATATTAAGTAATATAGGTGATAAAACTGATGCCAGTGGAACCCACTATTACATCTCCCAGAGGATGGGCTGGCTTCTATACTAACCACCATCTGGGCTTGTTCTAACAAAATGACACAGAATGAAATCAGTGAGATGCCAACATCTACTAGATGTTCCAGATGATGCAGTAAAATACTATGGTCCACAATAACAAATGCTGCTGACAATCAGAAGGGAAGCATTCCCTATATTTCCAAATTAAAATGTCCCACCAGGGC